GTTTATTGGTTCTGAAAATCACCTCTATAGAGGGGGAAGAAATCCTGGAGAGATGGCCGAGCGGTTGAAGGCGATAGATTGTAAATCTATTTATATATAATAATCGTAGGTTCAAATCCTACTCTCTTCAAGAAAGTATAGTATTTAGTAGATTTTAATGATCTATGATAATGTAGAGATCTTAGATTCCTATTAGCTTGGTTACTAAGCAATATACTTATTAGGTTCGTTAATTCTATACCACCCAGAGCGTGCTGCTGCGTTAATCCATCGATAGGCTTAAAGACTCTTTCTTCAAAGTTCTACTTTTGTGTGTTTATGATTCACTTTAGTTTACCCTTAATGTAAAGGCTTTATTCAAATATTGTTTCCAACAATCGATTTGATTTAGGCGTTTTTAGTTTAATGGATAAAACATCAATCTTCTAAATTGATTATTGTAGGTTCGAATCCTTCAAAGCGCAAAGTTTTCACAAATTTGAGAAGAATGGGATTTGAACCCATGACACTTTAATAAAATTGAAGTGTGACGATTTAGCAAACCGTTGTTTTAAACCACTCAACCATCTTCTCTAAGGATTTCCTCCCCCTCTATAGAGGTGATTTTTTTGCATCGGTCCCAAAAATTGGCACTGAACGGCCGTTCAGTGCCAATTTTTGGGACCGATGCAAAAAAATCACCTCTATAGAGGGGGAAGAAATCCTGGAGAGATGGCCGAGCGGTTGAAGGCGATAGATTGTAAATCTATTTATATATAATAATCGTAGGTTCAAATCCTACTCTCTTCAAGAAAGTATAGTATTTAGTAGATTTTAATGATCTATGATAATGTAGAGATCTTAGATTCCTATTAGCTTGGTTACTAAGCAATATACTTATTAGGTTCGTTAATTCTATACCACCCAGAGCGTGCTGCTGCGTTAATCCATCGATAGGCTTAAAGACTCTTTCTTCAAAGTTCTACTTTTGTGTGTTTATGATTCACTTTAGTTTACCCTTAATGTAAAGGCTTTATTCAAATATTGTTTCCAACAATCGATTTGATTTAGGCGTTTTTAGTTTAATGGATAAAACATCAATCTTCTAAATTGATTATTGTAGGTTCGAATCCTTCAAAGCGCAAAGTTTTCACAAATTTGAGAAGAATGGGATTTGAACCCATGACACTTTAATAAAATTGAAGTGTGACGATTTAGCAAACCGTTGTTTTAAACCACTCAACCATCTTCTCTAAGGATTTCCTCCCCCTCTATAGAGGTGATTTTTTTGCATCGGTCCCAAAAATTGGCACTGAACGGCCGTTCAGTGCCAATTTTTGGGACCGATGCAAAAAAATCACCTCTATAGAGGGGGAAGAAATCCTGGAGAGATGGCCGAGCGGTTGAAGGCGATAGATTGTAAATCTATTTATATATAATAATCGTAGGTTCAAATCCTACTCTCTTCAAGAAAGTATAGTATTTAGTAGATTTTAATGATCTATGATAATGTAGAGATCTTAGATTCCTATTAGCTTGGTTACTAAGCAATATACTTATTAGGTTCGTTAATTCTATACCACCCAGAGCGTGCTGCTGCGTTAATCCATCGATAGGCTTAAAGACTCTTTCTTCAAAGTTCTACTTTTGTGTGTTTATGATTCACTTTAGTTTACCCTTAATGTAAAGGCTTTATTCAAATATTGTTTCCAACAATCGATTTGATTTAGGCGTTTTTAGTTTAATGGATAAAACATCAATCTTCTAAATTGATTATTGTAGGTTCGAATCCTTCAAAGCGCAAAGTTTTCACAAATTTGAGAAGAATGGGATTTGAACCCATGACACTTTAATAAAATTGAAGTGTGACGATTTAGCAAACCGTTGTTTTAAACCACTCAACCATCTTCTCTAAGGATTTCCTCCCCCTCTATAGAGGTGATTTTTTTGCATCGGTCCCAAAAATTGGCACTGAACGGCCGTTCAGTGCCAATTTTTGGGACCGATGCAAAAAAATCACCTCTATAGAGGGGGAAGAAATCCTGGAGAGATGGCCGAGCGGTTGAAGGCGATAGATTGTAAATCTATTTATATATAATAATCGTAGGTTCAAATCCTACTCTCTTCAAGAAAGTATAGTATTTAGTAGATTTTAATGATCTATGATAATGTAGAGATCTTAGATTCCTATTAGCTTGGTTACTAAGCAATATACTTATTAGGTTCGTTAATTCTATACCACCCAGAGCGTGCTGCTGCGTTAATCCATCGATAGGCTTAAAGACTCTTTCTTCAAAGTTCTACTTTTGTGTGTTTATGATTCACTTTAGTTTACCCTTAATGTAAAGGCTTTATTCAAATATTGTTTCCAACAATCGATTTGATTTAGGCGTTTTTAGTTTAATGGATAAAACATCAATCTTCTAAATTGATTATTGTAGGTTCGAATCCTTCAAAGCGCAAAGTTTTCACAAATTTGAGAAGAATGGGATTTGAACCCATGACACTTTAATAAAATTGAAGTGTGACGATTTAGCAAACCGTTGTTTTAAACCACTCAACCATCTTCTCTAAGGATTTCCTCCCCCTCTATAGAGGTGATTTTTTTGCATCGGTCCCAAAAATTGGCACTGAACGGCCGTTCAGTGCCAATTTTTGGGACCGATGCAAAAAAATCACCTCTATAGAGGGGGAAGAAATCCTGGAGAGATGGCCGAGCGGTTGAAGGCGATAGATTGTAAATCTATTTATATATAATAATCGTAGGTTCAAATCCTACTCTCTTCAAGAAAGTATAGTATTTAGTAGATTTTAATGATCTATGATAATGTAGAGATCTTAGATTCCTATTAGCTTGGTTACTAAGCAATATACTTATTAGGTTCGTTAATTCTATACCACCCAGAGCGTGCTGCTGCGTTAATCCATCGATAGGCTTAAAGACTCTTTCTTCAAAGTTCTACTTTTGTGTGTTTATGATTCACTTTAGTTTACCCTTAATGTAAAGGCTTTATTCAAATATTGTTTCCAACAATCGATTTGATTTAGGCGTTTTTAGTTTAATGGATAAAACATCAATCTTCTAAATTGATTATTGTAGGTTCGAATCCTTCAAAGCGCAAAGTTTTCACAAATTTGAGAAGAATGGGATTTGAACCCATGACACTTTAATAAAATTGAAGTGTGACGATTTAGCAAACCGTTGTTTTAAACCACTCAACCATCTTCTCCTGGGAATATAGTTTAATTCAGGTAAAACATATGTTTTGCATACATAAGATTATGGGTTCGAGTCCGATTATTTCCAATAAAAGCATAAAAGTTTAATTCAAAATATTACAAATGAGTCGGTTTAGATTAAATTGCCAATCTAACTTTATTGAAGTATTTGATTCTTTGGATAATCGCTTTTCGAATAATCAAAGTTTTTTAATTTTTAATGATTTAAGTTGTGTCCAAGTTTCTTATAAGTTTGGAAAATTATCCAAAATAATTTTTCCTAACACTTTATTTTTAGAATGTTTACAAAGTCAAAAATTTTTATTCTCCAGTCAACGAAATTTTAAAAAACTAAAATCTTTATTGTTTTTTGGGACACTTCGGAAGGATGCAGTTTTTATATTTTTCGAAATTTTATTACATAGTACGTTTTTAAAGCATAAATCTGTTGTAAATTATCATAAAGTAAAAATTAGTTATTTAGATCTCTTTTGACCTAACACAGTCTTAGATAAATTAATGATAAATACTATGAAACAAAATAGGTTTATGGTTCATATTAAATAAGATTTCAAGGAGAATAGCTTAATTAGGTAGAGCTTTGGTTTTCAAAACCAATGGTTGTAGGTTCAAGTCCTTCTTCTCCTGGTTTATAATTTATGTTTAATTAATATATTTAAAATTATGTTGACATCTATTTTAATTGCAAGTCCTTTAGAACAATTTGAAATTGTGACGTTAATACCTTTAACATTTTTTGGTTTCAATATTTCTATAACAAATTCAGTGTTATTTATGGTGTTTTCTTTTTTGATAGCAATATTTTGAATTAGTTTAAGTTTTTATGGGAATACTATAATCCCAAATAACTGACAGTTATTAAATGAAATGGTTTATAATGTAACTTCAAATATGGTACAAGATAATTTAGGTTCCAAAGGCGAAGCATATTTTCCATTTATCTTTGCGTTGCATTTATTTCTTCTTTTTTGCAACTTGATAGGAATGGTCCCTTATAGTTTTACAGTAACAAGTCATATTACGTTTACTTTTGGTTTAGCTTTATCAATTTTTATAGGTATAAATATTATCGGAATTCAAACTCACGGGTTTAAATTTTTTGCATTATTTTTACCTAGAGGTGTTCCATTGCCAATAGTGCCATTGTTAATTACAATTGAATTCCTTTCATATATAGTTAAGGTTTTTACACTATCTATAAGATTATTTGCAAATATGACTTCAGGTCATACTTTATTAAAAATTATCGCGGGTTTTGCATGAACTATGTTATCCGCAGGAGGTTTATTAGCTGTTTTTCATTTAATTCCATTAGGACTTTTACTAGCACTTATAGGGCTTGAATTAGCTATTGCTGGTTTACAAGCGTATGTTTTTACATTATTAACATGTATTTATTTAAATGATGTTTTAGAATTCCATTAACACATAATAAAAAATGCCTCAATTAGATCGTATTATTGTCTTTTCACAAATTTTTTGGTTGATTTTAATTTTCTCGTTATTTTATGCTATTTTAACACATTATTTTTTACCTAAATTTTTGAAATCTTTAAAAATTCGTAAGCAAGTTGTTGATTTAAATACCAAAGAAATCTTAAAAAGGACAGAAGGGACTTTAAATAAACAAAATTTATTAGTAAAAATATTAATTAAAAATCTTGAAGTTACTTCAAATTTATTAGTTAGTTATTTTGGTCAGTTGGTTAAGGATAAAAAAAGTGTAGATACTTTAATTATTGATCAAAAAATTGGGTTCGTAATTTTAAATACTGTAAAGTTTTGTGATTTAAAATTAGTAAATTCAATATTCGTTTATCCTAAGCCATTAAAGTTTAAAAATTAGTTAAAAATTGTTATGTATTTACTTATTTTATGGTTGCCTTTATTAGGTTCTATTTTTTCAGGATTTTTAGGGCGGTTTTTAGGCCATAAAGGATCCAGTATCATTTCAGTAACATGTGCTTTGTTATCAATGTTTTTTTCTTTTATTGCATTTTATGAAGTAGGATTTATGGGATTAAGTCAATGCATTATGCTTAGCACATGAATTGAAGTAGGTATTTTAAAAATTTCTTGGAGCTTTTTATTTGATAGCCTTACTGTAACAATGTTAGTTGTTATAACGGTTATATCAAGTTTAGTACATTTATATTCGTTAGAATATATGCAAACCGATCCACACTTACCCCGTTTTATGGCTTTTTTGGAGATTTTTACGTTTTTTATGTTAGTTTTAGTGACAGCGGATAATCTTGTACAAATGTTCGTTGGTTGAGAAGGAGTAGGATTAGCCTCATATTTATTAATTAATTTCTGGTTTACTCGATTAGCAGCTAATCAATCTGCAATTAAAGCACTGGTTGTAAATAGAATTGGTGATTTTGGATTAAGTTTAGGTATATTGACAGTTTTTTATATTTTTCAATCTGTGGATTACTTTATTATTTTTTCATTATCACCTTTATTTAGTGATTACTGTTTCAATTTTGGAGGTATTAACGTTTCTGGTTTAACATTAATTGGAGCTTTTTTATTTGTAGGTGCTGTAGGTAAATCAGCTCAATTGGGCTTGCATACGTGATTGCCGGATGCTATGGAAGGGCCTACTCCAGTTTCTGCATTAATTCATGCAGCAACTATGGTGACTGCGGGTGTTTTTTTATTGATTCGCTTTTCTCCTTTAATTGAGTTTTCGCCTACTGTTTTAAATATTTTGGTATTATTTGGATCTCTTACCTCCTTTTTCGCGGGTATGTCGGGTATGTTTCAAAATGATTTAAAGAGGGTTATTGCTTATTCAACTTGTAGTCAGCTAGGTTATATGGTTTTTGCTTGTGGGATTTCGTGTTATAATGTTAGTATGTTTCATTTAGCAAATCATGCTTTTTTTAAGGCTTTATTATTTTTAAGTGCAGGTTCAGTTATACATGCTTTAGCCAATGAACAAGATATGCGTAGAATGGGTTCGTTGATTAAATTTTTGCCTTTAACGTATTCTTTAATGTTAGTAGGATCGCTTGCTTTAGCAGGCTTTCCTTTTTTAACAGGATTCTATTCTAAAGATTTTATTTTAGAATTATCACAAATTACCTTAAATAAAAATATTTACTCTATAGAAGGGTCATTTGCTTGTTGATTAGGAAATTTATCAGTTTTTTTTACAGCATTTTATTCCTTCCGCTTAATTTATTTAACATTTGTGAATTCAATAAATGTAACAAGAGAAAATATTTTAAAAAGCCATGAACCATCTTTATTAATGTTAATCCCATTAATTATATTGGGTTTTGGTAGTATTTTTATAGGTTATTTAGGGAAGGACTTATTTATAGGATTAGGTACAGACTTCTGAAAATCTTCAATTTTGATCTTACCTTCTAATTCTTATTTTTTAGAAGCGGAGTGGTTAAATATAGACTTAAAATGATTACCGTTTGTATTGAGTACTTTCGGGATTGGTTTAGCTAGTGTTGTTAATCTTACTAAAACTCATGTATATTTATATAATGCCTTTTATCGTAATATGTGTTTTTTAATTAATAAAAAATGATATTGGGATGTTTTATATAATAGATTTTTCGTTTATCCCATATTAAATTTTGGATATTCTGTTTCTTTCAAAAATTTAGATAGAGGGTTTATTGAATTATTAGGCCCCTATGGTTTTTCAAAAGTGGTACCAACTTGATCACAAATTTTTTCTAGCTTACAAACTGGGCAATTAAGCCATTATTTATTTTTTATTGTTTTAGGGGTTTGCTTATTTTTCTTAATTCTTTTTAATCAAATTCAATTATTAATTTTTTATTCAGTTTTAATCTTTTTCATATAATAATGTTTTAAATTAGCTAGGGTCTATAGCTTAAAGGTTAGAGCGTACGCGTGTGACATGATTTGTATCAGATAATTAAACATTATTTAATACCCGTATTCAAAATAAATATATACGAATTAATTTTTTATATAAGTGAAAATCTTATTATTCAGAGCTGGAGTGTAAAATTTAATTTATGATTAGTATCAAAGCTAAATTAAATTATTAAATTTATTGAGTACGTATAGAAATTTATTGAAAACATCATAACTCTAAGATAATTTATAAAGTCATATCAAACTTAATAGCGTGCATTAGGTTTAAGCTTGATATAAAATGGTGTAAAGTAAAGCTCTACGAATTTAAAATATAAAAAATTGAAACATGTGAAAAGAGGAACTTTACGTAAGCTAATGCTTTTTTGTAATGAAAAAGATACGCAGATCGTATTCTAGGTTAGTAATAAATTTTAATACTAATAAGGAAGCTGTATGATAAGAAATTATCACGTACAGTTTTTAGCAAAGATATTTTAATTATTCATAAAGTAATATATCGATTGTAACTTGATAAGCGTAAAGTTGGTTGTTCGAATCAACCTAGACCCAATTTAATAAGAAATTTTATGTGCAGCTTAGAATTTGTAAATCCTTTGATTTTAGTATGTATTACTCCGATTTTTGGAGCTTTAGTGCTGCTTATTGTTCCGGCAACTAATGAATATTTGTGTAAATTAGTAGCATTAAATACGGTATGTTTAACTTTTTTATTTTCTTTAGTTTTATGGGTACAATTTGATAATACGACAGCCTTATTTCAATTTAGTAGTACATACGATTGAATTCCGTCTATTAATTTGTATTATACAATTGGAATAGATGGTATTTCGTTATTTTTTATTTTATTAACAACTTTATTAACAATTTTTTGTATTCTAGTTAGTTGAGGATCCGTACAATATTTAATTAAGGAATACTTAATTTGCTTTTTACTGTTAGAGTTTTTTTTAATTCAAGTATTCTGTGTTTTAGATTTACTTTGATTTTATATATTTTTTGAAAGTGTCCTAATACCGATGTTTTTAATTGTAGGTATATGAGGTTCGCGTGAGCGTAAAATTAGAGCTGCGTATCAATTTTTTTTATATACATTAGTAGGGTCATTATTAATGCTATTGGCATTGTTAACAATTTACTTTGAGGTCGGGACTACAGATTTGCAAATTTTGTGATATTATAATTTCTCTGAACTAAAGCAAATTATTTTTTGACTAGCCTTCTTTTCAAGTTTTGCAGTAAAAATACCGATGATCCCATTCCATATCTGATTGCCCGAAGCACATGCTGAAGCCCCTACCGCAGGATCTGTAATTTTAGCTGGCATATTATTAAAAATGGGTGGCTATGGTTTTTTACGCTTTTCAATACCGATGTTTCCAGAAGCATCAATTTATTTTTCTCCTTTAATTTTTACTTTAAGTATTATTGCTATTTTATATGCATCGCTGACGACGTTGAGGCAAATTGACTTAAAAAAAATCATAGCTTATTCATCAGTTTCCCATATGGGCTTTGTAACAATTGGTATTTTTTCTTTAAATTTACAAGGTATTGAAGGTAGTATATTATTAATGGTGAGTCATGGATTAGTTTCAAGTGCATTGTTTTTATGTGTTGGTGTTTTATATGATCGTTATAAAACTCGGATATTAAAATATTACGGGGGCTTGATGCAAGTTATGCCTATTTTCGGTATTTTTTTTTTATTTTTTACTTTTGCAAATTTAGGATTTCCTGGAACAAGTAGTTTTGTTGGGGAGTTATTAGTACTTGTTGGAATATTTCAAATTAATCGAACTTTAACATTTTTTGCAGCTTTAGGAATGATTTTAGGCGCGGCCTATTCTATTTGGCTTTTTAATAGGATTAGTTTTGGGGTTTTAAAAACTCAATATTTTACTACTTTTCAAGATATTTCTAGACGAGAGTTTTGAATTTTAATACCTTTAACATTCTTAGTGTTGTGGATAGGTATTTATCCCGTATCATTTTTAAATGAATTTCATTTTTCGGTACTTAGTTTAATAGAACAATTGTTATAATTTTTACTATATATGTTTGATACTACTTGACTTTTTATGCGACTAGGAGGTACTTTTCTCTTTGGTGGAATTTTATTAGATGTAGAAATAATTGTATTGATAATTGGTTTAGCACTTTTGCATATGAATTTAGGGTTAAGAGCAATATTAACTGATTATATTCATATTAATAAAATTAAGATAATTTTATTAGTCTTAATACGTATTTCTAGTATTGAGATTGGTAGATATCTTTTAGAGCTTTTATTATAATTTTAAAATAAAATTTAATTAATAACTTTTAATGTATAATTTTTTATATAACTTCTATCCTATCTTGACAGAAACCTATATCATTTGTAGTATTTGTTTGTTACTTATGTATGGTGTTTTTTTAAGTACATATTCAACATTGGGCTATCCTTTGTTAAGTCAAAATTTTACTTTATTAATTTTACAAATATTAACTTTTAGTTTTCTTTTAATATTTTTGCAAGTTCCATTAATTGGCATGAATTGAAATAATTTTTTAATTAGTGATTCTTTTACTTATTATGCTAAATTAATTGTAATTTTAACAACTATAGGGTGATTTCTTTTATCCTTTGAATATTTACTTGATGAAAAATTAAATTATTTTGAGTTCTGAATTTTAATTTTATTGGCAATAGTAGCAATGCTATTTATTTTGCAATCATATGATTTGTTAACTATTTATTTAGCAATAGAGTTTCAAAGTTTAATCTTTTATATTTTAGCAAGTATAAACAGGACGTCTGAATTTTCAACTGAAGCTGGATTAAAATATTTTATATTAGGTGCTTTTTCTTCGGCGTTTTTACTTTGTGGTTCATCGATTGTTTATGGTTTAACAGGTTTAACAAACTTAAATGATTTAGCACAATTTTTTTCAGGATTTTTGGTTGATGAAAGTTTATTTTCATATAATTTAATTATAGGCTTTATTTTTATTTTGGTAGCTCTTTTATTCAAATTAAGTGCAGCACCATTTCATATATGATCACCCGATGTTTATGAAGGCGCTCCTTTTATTGTGACAGCTTTTTTTTCGATTTTACCTAAGCTTGCAATTATAGGGTTACTATTCCGGTTTCTGTTACATACTTTTTATGATTTGATTCCTTTTTGGCAAGATATTATTTTGCTATCAATATTTTTATCGATTTTAATAGGTACCTTTGGAGCTTTTGCTCAACAGAAATGAAAGCGTTTCCTCGCATATAGTTCAATAAATCATGTGGGATTTCTTTTATTAGCGATCTTAGGTGGAGATTTTGAAAGCATTTCAAGCACTATTTTTTATTTAATTATTTATATAATTACAATGTTAGGAATGTTTGCATTTATTATTAATACTAAAATTTATAAGTATCCTGTTGTATCCCCGATGCGATATTTAATTGATATTGAAGGTTTAGTTAGACATAACCCATTTTTAGCAGGAGCAGGAGCGGTTCTTTTATTTTCAATGGCAGGTATACCTCCGACAGCAGGGTTTTTTTCTAAATTATTCGTGCTGCTGGCGGCTCTACAAGTTAAGTCAGTTGGTATAAGTTTATTTGCAGTTGGTGTAAGTTGCGTAGCGTGTTTTTATTATATCAGATTAATAAAGAATATATACTTTGGGTCCGCAGCAAATCAATGAAAGGTACTTAAACCTATGAGTAAATTAAGCTCTTTAATTTTAGGAATTTCTTTAGCAAGTATTTTATTTGTCTTTCTGGATATAGAGCTAGTTTCAATAATTTCGTTAGCAATGTCTATACCTTTTTTATATTAAATGTGAAGATGTTTTTGATAAGTATAATTTTAAAAATAATAATAATAATATTACCATTATTAATAGCAATTGCTTATATGACTTTAGCGGAGCGTAAAGTAATGGCTGCAATGCAACGTCGTAAAGGGCCAAATATAGTTGGAGTTTTCGGTTTGTTACAACCTCTAGCAGATGGACTAAAATTATTTGTTAAGGAAACAGTTTTACCATCTAGTGCCAATTTAAGCATGTTTATTTTAGCTCCAATATTAACATTTTTGTTAGCGCTTGTTGCGTGGTGTGTATTGCCTTTTGGCGAAGGAATGGTTTATTCCGATATAAATATGGGTATGTTATATTTATTAGCTATTTCCTCGTTGGGGGTTTACGGTATTATAATTTCTGGATGAGCAAGTAATTCTAAATATGCATTTTTGGGAGCATTGCGTTCAGCAGCACAAATGGTTTCTTATGAAGTTTCAATAGGGCTAATTTTAATTAATGTTTTATTATGTTCAGGGTCATTAAATCTTACAGAAATAGTATTAGCTCAACAAAAAATTTGGTATGCTATTCCATTATTGCCTGCTCTAATTATGTTTTATATTTCTATATTAGCAGAAACAAATAGAGCCCCTTTTGATTTACCAGAAGCTGAGGCTGAGTTAGTTGCTGGATATAATGTAGAATATTCTGCAATGGGTTTTGCATTATTTTTTTTAGGTGAATATGCTAATATGATATTAATGTGCGGTTTAACTACAATTTTATTTTTAGGCGGGTGATTGCCAATTTTTAATTTAGTAATTTTTTATTGAATCCCGGCGACTATTTGATTTGGTCTGAAAACAACTTTATTACTTTTTGGTTTTATTTGAGTTCGTTCTGCATTTCCTAGATATCGTTATGATCAATTGATGCGATTAGGTTGAAAAATTTTTTTACCCTTGTCTTTAGGTTGAGTGTTGTTTACCGCTGGTATTCTATTGAGTTTTAATTGATTGCCATAAAAAATTTACTATGAAACTAATTTTTACCGAATATTCAATAATTTTAATATTTTTATGTATTTCGTTAGCTTTATCTATACTAATTTTTAGTTTATCTTATTTTCTAATCCCAGCAAAAGCCGATCAAGAAAAAGTCAGTGCGTATGAATGTGGGTTTAATCCTTTTGATGATGCCCGTGCTACTTTTGATATTAGATTTTATTTAGTTGCCATTTTATTTCTAATTTTTGATTTAGAAATTAGCTTTCTTTTCCCTTGATCTCTAACTTTAGGAAATCTTTCTTTGTTTGGGTTTTGGAGCATGATTATTTTTTTATTAATATTAACAATAGGTTTTATTTATGAATGATATAAAGGAGCTTTAGAATGAGAGTAATTTCAGGTAATTTTTTAACTAAAAAAGTAGGTATTAAATATATGATCCCATACCGAACTCAAAAGTATATCTATCTTTGCTAAAACTACTATTTTTATATGGAATTCTTAGACAGTTAAAAAAATGAGTATTAATAATTTAAAATCTGTTAGATTAAATATCTTATTCACATCAAATAATATTTTATGTACTATTACAAATCTCCAAGGAAAAGTATTATTTTGAACTTCTGCAGGATCGAAAAAATCTCGTGGAATGAAAAAGGTAACATTAACGACAATAATTTCAATTTTAAGATCACTTATTGAATATTTGGATAAATTAAAAATTAAAAATATTCATTTAAATTTAAGTGGGTTTGATAAAAATAAAAAAATTGTGTTAAAGTATTTTAAGCATTCTTTTTTCAATATTTTATCACTAACAAATAATTCTATGTTATCTCATAATGGATGCAAAAATATTAAAAAACGGTATATATAATGACGGAATAGTTCAATTGGTGAGAACATTGGAATCATAATCCAAAAGTTATAGGTTCAAATCCTATTTCCGTTAGTAGGCTAGATAGCATAGTGGTTTATGCAAAAGATTGCAAATCTTTTTTACATCGGTTCGAATCCGATTCTAGCTTTTACGAGAGGCTTATAATTAAAATTTTTTAAAAAATGAATGTAACTTTACAAAGTGCAAAAATGATAGGTGCTGGTTTAGCAACTATTGGTTTAACTGGTGTAGGTGCTGGTGTAGGTATTGTGTTTGGATCATTGGTAATGGCTTATGCGCGTAATCCATCTTTAAAACAACAATTATTCGGTTATACTATTTTAGGATTTGCGTTAACTGAAGCTGTAGCACTATTCGCATTAATGATGGCTTTTTTAATACTATTTACTTAGTATTTTAAGTATAAAAATAATAGGGTATAACGTAATTGGTTAACGTATTTGCTTTGGGAGTAAAAAATTGTAGGTTCAAGTCCTACTACCCTAATTTAATTAAATTAGGATGAATGGCTGAGCGGTTTAAAGCATCAATTTTGAAAATTGACGTAAGAATTAATCTTATCGTAGGTTCAAATCCTACTTCATCCGATCTAAGTCTGGATAGCTCAGTGGTTAGAGCGTAGGGTTGAAAACCCTTGAGCCATGGGTTCAAATCCCATTCTGGACAGAGCATTAAAATTTTTAATTAATAATAAAATATATTTTATGTATAATCGCCCTATATCACCACACATTACAATTTACGCTGCACAAGTGTCATCTTTAGCTTCTGTTTGGCATAGAATTTCGGGTCTTTTATTGACGTTTTTTGCTGTATTTTGTTCCATTTATGTACAATTAATAATATATAGTAATTATAATAAATATTTATTAAATTATAATCTTATAAATAATTTTTTATTTCCTTTATATGAAATTTTAGTTTTAGCCTTTTTGTTTAGTGTTTTTTATCATGCTTTAAATGGATTAAAGCAGATTATTTGAGATTTGGGTTTTTTTATGAATCAAAAATTTTTATTTTACTTTTTTCTAACTGTAAGTTTTATTGTTTGTGTAATTATTTTATTATTAATTTTTAATTAAAAATGTTTTTACAAAAAAGTTCAAATAAAATAAACTTATTTTACTTTAAAAATGATTTACAAAAGTATTTACAAGTGTATCGATGAAACCCTCTTTTAAATAAAAAACCTTGGTTTAATATTTATCCAATTTCTTTAAAGTCTTGTGGTCCTATGATTTTAGATGCATTAATTCAAGCAAAAGATTTGCAAGATTCTACTTTAACTTTCAGGCGCTCCTGTAGAGAGGGTATATGTGGCAGTTGCTCCATGAATATCAATGGAGTTAATACTTTAGCATGTTTAAAATCTTTAAATACTAATGAAGTATTTATAACCGTTTATCCTTTACCTCATATGTATATCATAAAAGATTTAGTTCCTGATTTAACATATTTTTATGCTCAATATAAAATGATTAAGCCTTGATTGCTAAGCAATAATATATCATCAATTAAAAAAGAACATTTACAATCTAAAAGTGATCGTGCAGAATTAGATGGTTTATATGAATGTATTTTATGTGCATGTTGTTCAGCAAGTTGTCCTAGTTATTGGTGGAATCACGATAAATATTTAGGACCAGCAATTTTATTGCAAGCTTACAGGTGAATTTTGGATTCTAGGGATTTAGATACTATGAAACGTTTAAATTTCTTAAATCATCGCATGCGTTTGTTTAGATGTCATACAATTATGAATTGCAGTAAAACTTGTCCTAAGTTTTTAAATCCAGGAAAGGCAATATCTTCGATAAAATATAAAGTTGCTAGGTTGTAAGGCGAAAGATGGGATTTGAACCCATGACTTTTAGATTCACAATCTACTACTCAACCATGCCGAGTTCCTTCCGCCTAAAATCATCAGCGAAAATAGCTCAATGGGTAGAGTATAATCTTGCCAAGATTATGGTTGAGGGTTCGAGTCCCTTTTTTCGCTTTTTAATTAGAAAGTCATGCAAATAGATATTTTTTTATTTCTTACATTTTCAATTTTTGCTTTAATTGCATCGCTTATGGTTATAAGTTCATCTAATGCGGTACATTCAGTATTATTTTTAATTTTAGTTTTTTGTAATATCGCAGGTTTGTTATTATTATTTGGCGCGGAATTTTTATCTTTTATGCTACTAATTGTTTACGTTGGGGCAATTGCTGTCTTGTTTTTATTCGTTGTAATGATGTTAAACATAAAAAAAATGGCTGTACAGCAAGGCTTCTTTTCAATTGTTCCCATAGGTTTAACTACTTTTTTTATTTTATTTATTCAACTTTCAGGAGTTTTTAATGTTTTTAATATTTCTTCGTTAAAACAAGATAATCTTGTTTGAATTTCTTGAATTACGGAAAGTCAAAATATTACCAATATTCAAGTTGTTGGTAATGTCTTATATACAAAATATTGCTTTTTATTTATTTTATCCGGATTAATTTTATTAGTAGCTATGATTGGCGCAATTGTCCTTACTATGCATCAACGAACCGATGTAAAAAAACAGAAGATTGAATTGCAACTAAACCGAACTTTTGGAGGCTCGTTAAAATTTATCGATTTAAGAAAATAAAAATTTAAAAAGCGGATATGATGAAATTGGTAGACATGTTAGATTTAGGTTCTAGTGATAAATTAGATCGTGAGGGTTCAAATCCCTCTATCCGTATATCTAAATTATGGATATGTTTATTAAATAAACATATCCATAATTTGAATATTATTGAAAATCAAGTAAAAATTTTTCTAGATTACCTAATAAAGGTAAAATACATAGAAAGTATATAAAATAATAAAAGCTTGCAATTTGTCCAATTAAAACGAACGGCTCTTCAACAGGCATTCCACCAATTCAGCCTAAAATTAAACAGCATCCAAGCATAGTCCAATATAAAAATCTATAAACTGGTCTGAATCTAGAGCTGCGTACTTCCGTACTATGAATTCAGGGTAATAATGCTAAAACTAATATTGCTGAAATCATTGCGATAACTCCACCTAACTTGTGAGGAATACTCCTTAAAATCGCATAAAACGGTAAAAAATACCATTCAGGTACAATATGCGCAGGGGTAATCATAGGGTTTGCTTCTATATAATTATCTGAATGACCTAAAACATTAGGAGAAAAATAAATGAATAAAGAAAAGAAAAGTATAAATATTAATAACCCTAATAAATCTTTATAAATAAAATATGGGAACATACTTATTTTATCAACGTTGGAATCAATACCTAAAGGATTGCCAGATCCATCTTGATGCAAAACGGCTAAATGAATTAAAGAAGCTGCTGCTATAATAAAAGGAAGTAAATAATGTAAACTAAAAAATCTGTTTAATGTAGCATTATCTACAGAAAAGCCACCTCATAGTCAGGTAACAATAGAATCACCAACTAAAGGGATTGCAGACACTAAATTTGTAATTACTGTAGCCCCTCATAAACTCATTTGCCCTCAAGGTAAAACATAACCTATGAACGCTGTTATTATCATTAATAAAAAAATAACAACCCCAATAACTCATACTCAATGACGTGGTTTAGCATATGAACTAAAATATAAGCCTCTAAAAATATGGATGTAAACAACAATAAAAAACATAGAAGCACCATTAGAATGTATATAACGCAAAAGTCATCCATAATTCACATCTCGCATTATATGTTCTACACTTGCAAAAGCCAATTCTACATGTGGTGTATAATGCATAGCTAAAAAAATACCTGTTATAATTTGTATTATTAAACAAATAGATGCTAAAAATCCAAAATTTCAAGCATAATGTATATTAATTGGTGTTGGATAATCAATTAAGTGATTATTCACTATCGAAATAAGAGGACGTTTAAGTAAACGCATTTAATAATTTGATTTTAACAATAAATTTTAAAAATTTTTTCGTACTCGCTACTGGACTTGAACCAGTAACTCTTAAATTGAGAATGAATTTTAAATCCATCGTGTTTACCAAATTTCACCAAGCGAGTAAATATTTTTAAAATCTAACCTGGTGTAAAAGGACTCGAACCTTTACATGATAGCATCAAAAGCTAATGCCTTACCAATTTGGCTATACACCATTTATCACAAAGCGGGTAACGGGACTCGAACCCGTAAAATTTAGTGTGGAAAACTAATGAAGTTACCTATTTTTCCATACCCGCTTTGTGATAATTATATAGTTTCAATATATTCTCTTAATGCAATTTTATAATTACATTGGAAAGCTGTTATTCTTATTTTAGTAGAATAAAAATATTTTAAGAACGTAATTTTTTCAATTTTTTTAGCTAATATTAAACTAATTACTTTACTTGTTTGCTCTTCTAAACGTTTCGCAAAAGAGAGTTTTCTTAAATATGTTTTTTGAAATTCTTGATTTTGAATCGCTGGTACTTGTGTAATCATTTTAGAACCCAAGTTTGCAAATTGTTTTTCTAATATACTAAAATTGGTTATTAATATAGGAAATAGCTTTTGCCATTTTAAATTTGCTAATAACGAATTTACGATTGCTTCAAAAGACTCAGAAAACTTTATTTCAATTTCCTTTCGTTGGGTTTCAAAATCTGCATGGAAAGAATCTTTAAGTTTAGTAAACCCAAGCCAACAAAAAGTAACAAAACATAAAAGAATTAAGGTTTCCTCATTCAATAATATAAGATTTTTAGAAATTAAAATTAATGATAATATAATAACAACACTAAAATTTAACATTTTTAAATTCCGCCTCATCAATAAATAGACACAAATAAAAATAACCAAACAACATCTACAAAATGCCAATATCAAGCTGAAGATTCAAATCCAAAATGATGCTCCTGCGTTAATTGATATTGTAATAATCGTACTAAGCAAATAAATAATGAAATTGTTCCAACCAATACATGAAAACCATGAAACCCTGTAGCCATATAAAACGTAGAACCATATATACCATCAGAGAGTCTAAAATCTGCCATATTATATTCATACGCTTGCAAGGAAGTAAAAATTACAGCCAAAATAATAGTTAATATTAAACTTAAAATAGCCTGGCTTCTAAAATTTGCAACAATAGCATGATGGCATCATGTAACGGTACACCCAGAAAGTAATAAAATTAACGTATTTAAAAATGGAATTTCTCATGGGTTTAAAACACTTATCCCTTTAGGAGGTCAAGTTAACCCTATTTCCACCGTGGGGGCTAAACTACTATGAAAAAATGCTCAAAAAAAAGCAAAAAAAAATAAAACTTCTGATACAATAAAAAGAATTACACCATAACGTAATCCTTGTTGTACTATTCCTGTATGATGACCTTCAAATGTTGATTCCCTTACAACATCCCTCCATCATACAAACATCGTCATAAATAACATAAAAAAACCACACAATAAAATGGTACTCCCTTGTTTATATGCATGCATATACATTACACCCCCAATTGCACATGAAAATGCAGATAATGAAGCTACAAATGGTCAAGGACTAGGATCTACTAAGTGAAAAGGATGTCTTTGCATAGACTTTGCTATGTTTGATAAATAAACCATAATTTTATTTTAAAAATTTTCTAAAAAATTGATTTAAAAATTCAGTCAATTTTTTTAGTACCGTAAAATCTGATACAAAAAGTATGAAAAAAATTAGAAGCAATACGATTATTTGTACTAAAGAAAATCGCATTAGTTTTATTCGTTTAATTTATTTGAAATTCAAGAAATATAATTAGATAAATTCACGGCTTCAATGACAATTGGCATAAATCCATGGTTAATTCCACATATTTCACTGCATTGACCATAATAAACGCCTTCTCTTTTAATAAACAACGATGTTTGATTTAAACGGCCCGGCACAGCATCACATTTAACACCCAGCGAAGGGATTGCTCAGCTATGCAGCACATCTGCTGCAGAAACAATTACACGTATGTGAGTATTCACAGGTACTACCATACGACTATCAACTTCCAATAACCTTAATTGTCCTACGTTTAAATCTTCCTCAGGTATCATATAACTATCGTACATAATAGATTCGCCTTCGGCATTCAAATAATCAGAATATTCGTAACTTCAATATCATTGATGACCTAATGTTTTTATAGTTATAGCTGGAGATATAATTTCATCCATAGCATATAAAAGTGAAAATGAAGGAATTGCTATAACTAATAAAATACATGCTGGGGTTACTGTCCAGATGACTTCAATTAAAGTTCCATGTACTAATGATGATGGCGTACTATTTTGTGTACTTTCAAAATGCCATACTGTGCGAACTAACATTCAAGAAACAAATATAAAAATAACACAAATAAAATACATCAAATCATGATGTAAATTTATAATCCCTTCCATAATTGGAGTCGCCGGATCTTGAAATCCAAGCTGTCAATTTTCCGGCGCATCACTAAAACTCAAAGGAATTGAAACTATCATTAAAAAGAGAAAACTGATGAATTTTAAATTACATAACATTTTATTCTGTTGTTTCACAAATCAAGGGCATTTCTTCAAATGTATGATATGCAGGTGGCGACGTTATAACCCATTCTAAAGTGGAATTTCCTACAACATCAGAACGTTCAAAGTTTCACGGAGCATTTAAACATGGGTTTTTTGATGTTAATGAAACAAAAACTAAGTAAAAAAAGAAGAGAGTACTGAATAAAGCAATATAAGAACCATAAGAAGCCACTAAATTTCAACCTGCATAAGCATCTGGATAATCAGGAATTCTACGAGGCATTCCAGCTAACCCTAAAAAATGCATTGGCATAAAAGTAAGATTTACACCTATAAAAGTTGATCAAAAATGAATTTGTCCTAACAACTCTGGGTACTGCACTCCTGTAATTTTACCAAACCAATAATAAAAACCGGCAAAAATAGCAAAAACAGCCCCCATAGATAATACATAATGAAAATGTGCTACTACATAATACGTATCATGCAAACTAATATCTAAACCTGAATTTGCTAAAACAATTCCAGTTAAACCTCCAATTGTAAATAAAAAAATAAAGCCTGTTGCAAAAAGCATAGGGGTTTTAAAATATAATGACCCTTCCCACATAGTTGCGATCCAACTAAATATTTTAATTCCTGTTGGGACTGCAATAATCATTGTCGCAGCAGTAAAGTAAGCTCTAGTATCTACATCAAGCCCAACTGTGTACATATGATGTGCCCATACAATAAATCCTAGCACTCCGATAGAAACCATTGCATAAACCATTCCAATATAACCAAAAACTGGCTTTCGAGAAAAAGTTGCTACAATATGACTTACCATCCCAAAACCAGGAAGAATTAAAATATAAACTTCAGGGTGCCCAAAAAATCAAAAAAGGTGTTGATATAAAATCGGATCCCCACCTCCAGCCGGATCAAAAAATGCAGTATTAAAATTACGGTCAGTTAAAAGCATTGTAATAGCTCCTGCTAAAACTGGAACAGCTAATAATAATAAAAATGCAGTAATAAAAATAGACCATACAAATAAAGGCATACGGTACATACTTTGCCCAGGATTACGCATATTTAAAATTGTAGAAATAAAATTGATTGCACCCAATATTGATGATGCCCCTGATATATGTAAACTAAATATCGCAAGATCTACCGCACCACCTGAATGGCTTTGAATCGAACTTAAAGGAGGATATACTGTCCAACCTGTACCTACACCAACTTCAACAATTGCTGATGCCAAGAGTAAACAAAGCGAAGGTGGTAATAATCAAAACGATATGTTATTTAAGCGTGGGAAAGCCATATCAGGACTCCCTATCATAATAGGTACTAGCCAATTTCCAAATCCACCTATCATTACAGGCATTACCATAAAAAAAATCATTAAAAATGCGTGTGCTGTAATTAAAACATTATAAATTTGATGATTTCCTAATAATAATTGGTTTCCGGGTTGCGCTAATTCCATACGAATTAACATTGACATACAGCCGCCTAGAACCCCAGAAAAAGCTCCAAAAATTAAATATAAAGTTCCTATATCTTTATGGTTTGTTGAGAAAATTCAACGAGAAACTCATTGCATAAATGAAAATTGCATTGTCTTAGAATAGTAAATATTATTTAACTTTGTTAATCAAATATTTAACAAACGAGAGAGACGGGATTTGAACCCGCAACTTTTAGCGCGACAGGCTAACACTCAACCTTTGAGTTTCTCTCCCTTTAATTTATAAAATAATCTACATATCTATAATTATTTTATAAGTTTAATTTTAAAAGCAATTTTTTTGAAAATATAATCAAACAAATTTTTTATTTGTTGTTCAGTTAAATTATCAAATTCAAATAAAATCATTCCAGGTTTAACATAAACAGCATGCGTATAGACCGCTCCTTTACCTTTACCCATTCTAGATTCGATATTAAACTTTGTAAGTGTCAAATTCATTGATAATAATATCCAAAAACGAAAATTTTTTTTATTATTCGTTACTAATTTTAACCTTTTTAATATGATTCATCTTAACGCATTTAATTGACTTTCAGTTATTCTACTAAAAGCAAGTGATTTAATACCAAAACGCCCATATTTTAAAATATGATTTGATTGTTTTAACTTTAATGAGTACTTATTATGTGTCTTCTTTTTCTTTAACATTATTTGAGTATTAGTTTATTTCATAAAACAATCAAATTTGCAAGCCGCAACTTCCTAGCTTTGTATACAAATTTTTTTGCGCAAATTCCACATGATTCTTCAAAGATACTAATGATAATGAGCCTGAACTTTGTTCAATACTTTTAGCCATTTGACTTTTCGTATTATCAAACCGTCCTACCAACCGAACTTTAAATCCTTTTAACCAAATCACACGAATCCCTTTTGTAGAGCAAACAATCTTACTGTGATAACGATGCCTGTTAAGAAACGCACAAACTTGCCATAATATTTTATTCGGGTTTTTATTTTGCTCTAAAAGATATGAGGCATAACTTATTATTAAATTAGAGGTTGTTATTCAATATATTCTTTTATAAATACGTAAATAAATTTCCAATGAAAATCAATTAGATACTAATTTTGATAACTTTTGAATTAAAGATAAATACTTATCTGATTGATTACCAATTATATCAACAATATAAATGTTTAAAAAGAGCTTATCATTAAAATATCAAAATTCTTTATCATTCACTGAAAATTGATTTATTTTTAAAATTTTGCTTATAATATTTTCAATTTGTAATTGCTTTAAAAAAGAAAAGGTATAATAATAATTCAATTTATTATAATTTTGTACTGTAAAATCTCATACTTGAGTTACACCAAGTTTAAGGCTTATAGGATTTATTTTTCTTGTCATAATTATTTTTTTTGGTCAAGTTAAATTAAAATTTTTTTGAATAATTCGGATTTATAAAAACTAAAATTTATTACTAAATAACATTCTTAAACCGATCAATCTAATAATCTTTTAGATTATTCTTGAAAAATATAATAAAGAATATTTAATACACTTGATTCATTCAGTATTTATTAAAGGCTAACGTAGCTACTTGACTATGCTATTGGCATAACAATCATTTAACCAGAGGTTAAAGTATCTTGGTCCTCTCGTACTAAAGATACACTTTTTATTTTTCTTTGCTTGCAGTAGATAGGGACCGAACTGTCTCACGACGTTCTGAACCCAACTCACGTACCTTTTTCACTAGCGAACAACTAGACCCTTGAAATCTACTTCAATTTCAGGATAAGATGAGTCGACATCGAGGTATCAAACCGTGACGTCAATACGAACTCTCAATCACGATGAATCTGTTATCCCTAGAGTTCCTTTTATCTGTTGAACGATATTAATTCCACACTTAAATATCGGGTCACTATGACAGACTTTCGTCGCAATTCGATTTATAAATCTTATTGTCAGGCAAGTTTATACCATTATATTCTTCATTATCCATCCTGAATAATTGTCGCTTACCTTCGTACACCTCCGTTACCATTTAGGAGGTACTCGTCCCAAGTAAACTTTCTCTTTTAAACGGTCTTTTATAATATTACTTACAAATCAAGTAAAAAATTAAATTTAATGAGTGGTATCTCAAGAACATTAATAATTATTCCCACTTATGCTTCACATTTAAACAATTTTTTACAATTTAAAATCAAAGTAAAGGATCTAGGGTCTTTCCGTCTTACTCAAGTAATCCCACATTTTCATGGATAATGTAATTTCACTGAAATTGTATTGGAGACAGTGAAGCAATCGTTACGCCATTCATGCAGGACGGAATTTACCCGCCAAGGAATTTCGCTACCTAAGGATTCTTATAGTTAGAACCGCCGTTTACTTAGATTTCAAAAATAGGCTTTAACCTAAATTTTTTATTTTTAAGTACTGGGCAGGCGTCAGACTCTATACTGCTTTTTACAAATTCGCAGAGTCCTGTGGTTTTGTTAACCAGTCGTTGCTTCTTCTTTTATGCTACCTTTTTATAAGGCTCTCTTTATCGCGAACATACAGAGTCAATTTGCCGAGTTCCTTCAATACAATTCTTTCATTCACTTTAAATTTTTTCAATAAGTTTACCTGTGTCGGTTTAAGTACGGTTTATCATTTTTATAGTTTTTTCTCGAAAATAATGTAAATTAATTTTATGCCTTCTATAGTATTGCAAAATCTTTTGCATTATTTTTTTCATGTTTTAATAACACATATAAAAAGTATAACATAATCATTAATTTCCTATCGAATACAATTTTTATTCACTTCTTAAGAACCGACTAACTTGATGAATTTAAAATTACATCAAAACCCTTAAACATTAAGTGATTACGATTTTTTAACGTAATTTTCGCTACTCATATCAGCATTCGCATCTTTGCTAATTTTTAATGATTTTACAATCAAAAAACTTTTACAAAGCGTTTCACTACCATTAATTTATATTAATCCGCTACTTCGATATAAAACTTAAAGCTTCCATACATTTTAAATTAAAAAAAGAAAAATAATGAGCTGAAACGCTTTCTCTAATGAGAGGCTGCTTCTAAGCCTAACAAGTTTTTTATTTGAACTTTTTTTAATTTTTTCTCTAAGTTTTAATTTAAAAATCTTAGTATTCGATCTGGATTGTTTTCCTTTCGTCTATGAACCTTATCGCCCATAGACTGGCTGTTAATTATATAAACCTTTAATTCGGAGTTAAAAAAAATTTAGTAAACTTTTACATCCCCTTATTCATTTTGTACTCTAACTCAAGATTTTTAATAATTAACGTAGTACTAAAATACATTTCGTGAAAAACCGGCTATTTCCAAGTTTGATTAGCCTTTCACTCCTAGCTACAAGTCATCTCTATATTTTGCTACATATACGAGTACAGTCTTCAAAAACTTTTTAAAGTATTCTCAACTTACTTACAACTAGATCACTTGGTTTCAGGTTTAATACGTATTACTTTTTTCGCTTTTTTATTACTAATTAAGCTTGCAATACACATTAACTTGCTGATTCATTATGCAAAAGGCATTTCGTTGTTGCACACTCCGAAAATTTTAAAACACTTAACTCAAAATAATTCTTTTCGAACTTTTTTACCTTTCCCTCACGGTACTCGTCCACTATAGGTTGAAAAACTTTTTAAGCTTAGAAGGTGGTTCTCCTTTCTTCATACAAATTATAAGTTCATATTACTTAAAAATTTTGTTAGAAAACGTTTCTTTTAATACAGGACTTTTACCTTTTTTAGTAAATTATAATTAAAACGTTTTACCAAGCTTATATATCGCGTTCATTCACCATTACTTACGATTTCTCGATTGACTTTTTTAATAATGCTACTTAGATGATTCAATTCACATCACTTTTTAAAAAATTTTATTGAGTTTACTCTAAATACGGAAATTTATAAATCACAAGCAAATGCCTACTTATAACTTTTCGTAGCGTCACGTCCAAAATTTTCCACCAAGGCTTTTATTAAGTGCCCGTTATAAAAATTTTAAAGCCCCTTGACCAAAGTTTTAACCTTTCATTAAATGCATTAACTCTACAGTAATAACACTGCGAATTCGATAATAAATCACCAAAATTGCTAATCCTATAGATGATTCCGCTGCTGCAACAGTTAAAATTAGTAATGAGAAAATTTGACCTGTAATATCATCTAAATAAATAGATGCAAATATCAGATTAAAACTTATAGATAAAAACATCATTTCTAAAGACATTAACATAACAAGAATATTTTTCTGATTTAAAAATATTCCTAAAACACTAATTAAAAACAATAAAATTGAAGTACAAGTGCTATTTATATAAACTAACATTATTTTTTTATTTTATGGGATAGTAGAGCTATCTTTATTTTCCAGCCGCAGGTTCCCCTACGGCTACCTTGTTACGACTTCACTCCAGTTCTTTTTTTACTATAAACTATAATTATTAAATATAAAATAGTTTTCAAATAAAACAAATTTCCATAGCGTGACGGGCGGTGTGTACAAAACCCGAGAACTTATTCACCGTAGCATTCTAATTTACGATTACTAGCAATTCCAACTTCATATTTTCGAGTTACAGAAAACAATTCGTATATAATTTACTTTTTAAGATTTGCTTAAACTTACATTTTTGCTTCTTTTTGTATAAATTATTGTAGCACATGAAAGTAGCCCAATCTATTAGGGTCATGAGGACTTGACGTGATTCTCGCCTTCCTTTAAGATATCCTTAACGGTCTATATTCAAAAATATATGAGAGTTTTGTCCGTTTAGTGGAATGAACCAAACGCTTCACAGCACGGACTGACGACAGCCATGCAACACCTGTATATTATTCAAAGATTGGTAAGATTTCGCGCGTATTATCGATTTAAACCACATGCTCCACTGCTTGTGCGGGTTCCCGTCAATTCCTTTGAGTTTTAATCTTGCGATCGTAGTTCCCAGGCGGAGTGTTTAACGCGTTAACTTTATTTCTGATAATTCAAAAATTAACACTCATCGTTCAGGGCATGGACTACAGGGGTATCTAATCCCTTTTGCTACCCACGCTTTAATATCTCAGTGTCAGTTTTAGTCTAGATTATTGTTTACACTATCGAGGTTCTTTTAAATATCAAAACATTTTACTGTTACAGTTAAAATTCCATAATCTTTTCTTAAACTCTAGAAAATTATTTTTTCAAGCATTTTAAAAATAAAATTTAAAATTTGAACTAAAAGTTAAGTTTCCACCTACATATGCTTTACGCCCAATAAATTCAAATAACGTTCGCCCTTCTCGTTTTACCGCGGCTGCTGGCACGAAATTAGCCAGGACTTTTTTTTAATTCATCATCATTTCCTTAATTTTAATGGTTTAAAACAAAAAGTTTTATCACATATATGGTTTAGCTGGGTCAAGCTTGCGCTCATTGCCCAAAATTCCTCACTGCTGCCTTTAATTAAAGTTTGAACCATATCTCAATTCCAATGTGGTTGCTCATCTTCACAGACCAACTAAAGATCATTAGCTTGATACACTTTTATTATACCAACAACTTAATCTTGTATAGACTTTTCTCAAATCAATAAAATTTTTTCATGCATTAAACAATTATTTGAGGTTAATTTCTATATTATACTCACCCGTTCACTATTAATTTACAATCTTAGAAATAAATTTATTTAATTTGCATGTGTAAAGCTAACCATTAACGTTCATTCTGAGCCAGGATCAAACTCTTATCTAAAAAAACTTCAATCTTTTGCGAAAAAATTCTTTTTATCTAACTATCCCATTGTACTATTGCATAGAAACTAAAATTTCATTGCATTAAACTAAATATACTGCCAATCTCTGTAAAAAGTAATTCAGATAAAATTTTCTTATTTAGCAAAAGACTTTCCTTCGAAATAAAAAAGTAAAATAAGTTGTATTTTATAGTTAATAATTTAATATGATTAATATTTTTCTTCCGAAAAATACGCTTTTTATTTATACGACTTCTAGTTCGTAAAAGTTCTCTCTTCATCATTTATTTTATTCAAAATATTATATACGGGAATAGGACTTGAACCTATAGCTTCAGATCATGAGTCTAATGAGTTAACCTTATTACTCCATCCCGTGAATTATATTAAGTTACTCCTAGTGGGATTTGAACCCACGTTTATGCCACGAAAAAGCATTGTCTTAGACCATTAAACGATAGGAGCTTAATTTTTTTTAGTGCCATATTTAGAGCGACTTTTTTTTCGGCTATTTACCGAGGTTAAGTCAAACGGACCTCTAATCAAGTGATATTTCACACCAGGTAAATCTTTTACACGCCCTCCACGTATCAAAATTATTGAATGCTCTTGCAAAGTATGACCTTCTCCTGGAATATATCCGATAATTAATTTTCCGGTACTAAGCTGCACTTTAGCTACTTTACGATCTGCTGAATTTGGTTTCTTAGGGTTCATCGTAAAAACTTTCAAGCAAACACCCTTTTTTTGAGGACATTTTTCTAATGCAATAGATTTTATAGGTGATTTTTTTTTATGTCTAGAAAATTTTATTAATTGATTAAATGTGGGCATGGATTCAAAATTTTTATATTACATAACTTATAACAAACGAATAAAAAAATCAGCTCAAAAATTAAAAATACAGCTACTATACAAAAAATTTGTAAAAAGTTATCTGAGGGTATCAATAAGAACAATATACAGAGAATTCCAAATATAAAAAGCTTCCGATAATATTTAATTAAAACATAAATTTTACTTATTTTTATTAAAAGTCAAGAATGCAAAATCAACAAAAGCGTAAAGAAGCCTAAGGAACCTAAAACGTAACGAAAAGCTAAAACTCATTGCACATAACTTGTAACCCTAAGTTCAATAAAAATATCAAATAAATTTGTTTTATTTATATCCCATTTTGTTAAAATAGATAACACGAAAGGTAACAAACCAAAATGTATTAAAAACAAATATACTAAAATCATTAAAAATGAAAAGTGAAAGGATTTCTTAAAAAATCTAATTTGATATGAATATCAGCTAGAACTACTAAATTCAGATAATTGAAAAATTCAATAAGGAAATACAAAAAAAAAAGCTTTTGATATAACTAAAATCCATAAAACCTCAAACAAATCCATTACATTTGTAACAATAAATTTTTTTAATTCAGGTAAAACAAAAGGATAAATTTCGAAAAATATTAAATAATACACATTCATGCTTGCAGCAAATACACACAACAAAAAACTTATAAAGACATAAATTAAGCGTAAAATTAGTTCTAGTGAATAAAAATAAATAAGCTTCGAAAACATTAGCGAGTGCATTAGGATTTGAACCTAAGATCTATAAATTAAAAGTTTACTGCTTTACCAAACTAAGCTATACACCCTTTTAATTATCAAGATGTGTTTGGAAAGAATCGAACTTTCAATCTTTAAATCCGTAGTTTAATGCTTTATCCTAATTAAGCTACAAACACACTCTCAAAATCAATTAAAATGAGCAATAATGGATTTGAACCACTAACTTTTTCGGTGTAAACGAAATACTCTACCATTTGAGTTAATTGCCCTTGTTAAACTTCCTGAGTAGGATTCGAACCTACAACCTGATGGTTAACAGCCATACGCTCTACCTTTAAGCTACCAGGAAA